TCAAATTCATTCCCCCAACTCCAGCACCAGTGAGATAAGGCAGCCACCTTGGATACCTTCCGCCGGGAGCATGGGTGGGCGGGGATGTTCTTCTGCTGCACTGTAAGAACCAGGTTGTATGATCTAAGGGAGCTAAACATGCCTGTATTCAACGCTTTTTTCAATGTGGAGGTTTGAGGGTTTCAGCTGTATGGCTAAGGGATATGGAAGTTTCTGATTGCAGGTTGCGTTTGGGATTCGCCTGCAAGCGTAAAGCAGGCGCCCTTTTGTAGCCCGGATCCTTGTAGTAGCTTCCCACATGTTGGGAACTTTGCAAGAGCTTTGCCACCATACAATCGTGCAACAAAGCTTCCAGTCTACCTGGTACAACCAGACTGTCTGTACCCGGAAGGGACACGGCACAAAGATAGTTTTCGAGTAGTCTAGTCAACACAGCAAAACTATTGGAGGGGAGCTGCCGCGCATGTTGAGAAGCTTGACTGCACCAATTCTCAAAATTGTCAGCACCCTCCAAAAAGATTCAATAGTCATATGAGCACTTCGGAGGGCATTCCTGTTTGTTCAAATACGCCTCCAGTCTGAATGAACACAGAGGTTTTCAAGCACTGCAGAAACTACATTCTTCATTGGAGAAGGTGACACACTACATCCCGGGGCTCCAGGAAGTGAGAAATCACCTGCGAGAGCCAAGCCGGAAGAGCTGGCGATCAGCCATCTTGGTAGCGGAATGCACGATGCACATGGGAACGCGCGGATGGTGGAGAATGCAGTTTCCTGGCATTGCCTGCATGAGTCCAGGTGTTTTCTCCTTAGGTTCAAGGGCGTCTGAATCAGCTTTACACGTGCAGGATCTGAACCGCTTCTTTAAGAGGGCGAAATCCACTAGCACCATTGGAACCAGACCACCCAAGAGGCTTTGAACCCTCTTCCCCAAACCTTATTCTGGTGGACTTAGAGATCCCAAATTCGAAGCCCCAAATGGCTCACCCTGTTCTGTTTCCCTTTCTAAAATCCATGCAGCTCCATTGTAGTTAGAGCCTCTTGCATGAAATTTTCTGCGCAGGACTTTTGGGTCTTGAGCGAGTCCACGGAATCTTTGCCCCCAAAGCTGGAGGCCTCCCCGCGTAGATTTTTTATGCCGTTGGTGTTGATCCTGTACCCCCAATTACCTACAGCTTAGTAGTAATTCCCCCTTAATTAGTAGGTATGACACATAGAACTGTAGGTAATTGGGGTCACAGGATGTGTGAAAGGCATCAGGGCTATGTGCGTAAAAGTACCCTCGAGGTTTACAAAATTGCTTAAGAAAAAAATTGGCATTGATGTGTACCAGAGTCAGGACTGCGTGATTCATGGAAGCCATTTTCGCTGGGATGCATTTTATCATCTTGTGGTTAGTTGAACGTCCCATCAGACTTGCTGCAGTCCTGGCGCAATCCGGCTCTATGCAAAGGTATCATATGCAGTTTTGGCAGTAATCAAACTACCCCCATCAATTTTGTATTTGGGCAGGACAAAATGCATGTTCCAGCGCAGAAAGCCACGCACAGCAACAGCTTAACCCGTACAACAGCTTACAGAATTGGACAACCTTACAAATGCCAATAATTTTCACAAAGTTCACATGGAAATCAAGAAATAAGCCCTAGACCCCCCATGTTCAACATCTTTCAAGATGCGCAAAATCTGGGTTTTTGTGTACCCTCGATGGTAGCAGGATCACATGGGTGTTGATAGTGCGAATCTTGAGAAGGCTTTCCATGTTGCGCATGCCTCCATGTAAGCCCTCCATCGTTCAATTTTGTGAGGCATTGCGGAGCGTGGCAAGTTCAGAGGATGAGGTGCGACCCTCTCTAAATGGAGATTTGACGTGTGGCACGGGCCTGCACGCCAACCTCACATGCATCCCCCACAAAACCGAAATCCGTGTGGAGCCTCTCTTGTTCGATGAGGTTTCATGTTTCTTTCAAGGAGGTGTACATCCTCAACCTCTTGCATACATTGTGATCTTATTCAGTCCGTAGCTAGTTTTGTGAGCTAAAGTTCATGTAGACCATGTGATTTCTTGTGTTGCGCAAGCCCGAATTATGGAGGTCTGGCCTGGAACTTTTGAGACGGACCCATAAGCGATACGCAAGCTATAGGACACAGGAAAATGGCCAAGCCCATTTGCACACTGCAGGGTGTAGGGTGCAAGCATGCAAGAAAACAGGAGCATGTTGTGTGAGCTATGACTTAATACTAAGGTAGATGGTAGGTCCGACAGGTTTGGTCAGTTTACTATGCAGAATACCTAGAGCCATTGGCCAAAAGCGAATGAGCCATAAATGTCGGTACGATTGATCCTGAAGATTGCAGCCTGCCAACAAAGGGAATCCAAGGGCAGCCTTTCGGAAGACTTCCACTTGCAAGCCTTTATGCAAACCGAAAATCAATAAGCCAGGGGCAACCAATCTGCATGTAAGGCACACAAGTCTTGAAAAACGTAAACATTGTAGGCTTTGTGGGCTGAGGAAGCAAGAATACAAGCTGGGGGTAGTTCAGCACGGCTCGGGTTCCTCATCCCTTACCCCCAGGCCTCTTTCCTGACAGGGATATCTGGCTAGTCACCAGTCCATGTCCATGTCCATGTCCTTCAGCAGGATTATACATTCGCAAGCACCATTCGTAAGTATATAGGATGAGAGGACAGCTGCTGAAATATGCCTTCAAGCGCCTACGCCCCAAGCTTTTTCAGATCCTGAACTTCTTCCGGTGGGCGCCCCGCAGCATTGCCACAACCACAGCCCAGGAAAGGGATCAAACATAATAACAGCTGCCTTGTGGTTTTCTTCACGTGCGTTCTGGTGGGTCATAGTGAATGTGGGGCTGTGTTGCATGTCTCGAAAACACTGATATTTGGTTCTAGGGTGCAGAGTTTAAGGTGTTCAAATGACTGGCTCCAAGGTGCTAGCAGGCCTTGGATGTCTAAATAAGTTTGGGCTTGAAGCAGGGATGGTCACTGTTTCACGTGGTGCTGTTCTTATTCAGGTTGACTGCGGTCGCAAGGGGTCCAGCCACTTCAGGGAGCCTAGGGCCTTGGGTGTTGGTGAAATTGTTGCAAAGCTGGTAGCATGCATGTATAGTTCAAATCCATAGCAACTAGCCCATCCCAAACCTGGAGCTCAGAACCTGAGCAAAGTAGCTAGACCTATGGAATCGGGATCCTAGGTTGAAGCCTCGAAGTGGGGCTTGGCAGGGGGCTGTTGAGTTTCTTTGGTGTTGCACATTTGGCTGATTCCTGGCTTGGCCATGCGCTTGCTAGCATGGAAGTCCTCACCCTTGAAACATTTCACGGAACTGTCCCAGTCCCACACAAGTTGTCCAGCAATCTTTCCTTAAATTGAAGTTTGAGATTTTTTGCGCATGTAGGTTTCTCTTCTAGCATGTTAGTTTTCCAAGCTCTTGACTTGCATCTCGGAACTCTTCGTTCCAGCAAGCATGCAACTAATAATGTATATGCAAGTGTGGACCTTCAACAAAAAAGATCACTGGGAAAGTCTTTGCGGAAATGCTAAAGGTGTACACCGTGAATTAGTCGAGACTCTGAATGCACTAAGGCCCCTCCCAATCTGTTGCAAGTCAGGTTTTTGCCAGATATTGTTTAAGCATATCTGCATTGTGGTTCTGCAGGGACAGTGTAAAGTAAAAGGAGAGGGTGTGGGGACCAGTAGCATTCATGACAACCAGAGGAAAGCCCCAAGATAGGCTGTAAAGAGATCTAGAATCGCGTTTCAGGCCTGAAGTGCGACAAGGAACCCCCACATTCGGATAAATTCAGGACTTGTGTAGAAGCCTAAAATCGTGTTCTAATGCTGTAGGCCCCTAGCACAATGTGCATGAGGGGCTCGAGGTTCGATGCAATGGACTTGAAGTGTTTGCTTACCTCCTGCTCCTTGCATGTAACATCCATGCAGCGAGCATGTTTCTATGACTGATGGACTAGGCTCAGCAACATGCCCTCCCGATCCGTCAAGGGAGGGTGTAAGAAATTCTCTTCTCTTGCGGATTCAAGGTCCAGGTCCTTCGCAGGTGGCAAGTTAAACCCCACCTAGACACCCAAAATTTCGATCGGTGTAGCATTTAAGCAACCGTATTCCCCAATATGCAGCATCCCTCACCCCGGATAAGGCAAACTTGTTACAAAACAATTTTGGAAACTTATTTGGCAGGGGGGGGGTTGGTGTTTCATATTCGTGCCAGGCTGTTGAGCCGAGCATTTTTGCGGAAGCTCGTCTTTCAGTTTCTGTAGGTGTTGGCTGAAAGCTTCTTAAACGCAAACAAACCCTAAACCCGACACCCTAGACCGTACATGAATCCTGCACCCTGACGGTTTAGGAACCATGTTAGGGTCTAGGCTTTCAGGTCTAGTGAGTATTCTTTCTAGTTCCCACAAAGTTTCTAGTTGCCACAAAGGCGCTACATAATCCTAAAGCGAGACTCACATCCTTCTAAGGTCCGAACTATGGGCCCTTAGTTGGGGCTACTAGGGTCTTATAGGAGATATACTAGCGAGGCCCAGAGCTGCAACTTCAGAAAAATTTCCAGTGTCTCTGAGGGCCACCTGTCTTGAGAAAGCCTTCCCATTCGCCCTGGTGCGGAGGAGATTCAGGAGCGGGGACTTTCCAACATGCTTCTCCGATCCGTCATTGGAGAGGCAGGTCTGCTTCATGGTGTAGCGACCTCTTCTGTATGGAATTGTTGTGATTTTTGATTCGGCTTGAGTTGGAGGACCCGAAGAAGGGATCTTGATGGGAAGGTTGAGGTCGGGTTGAGGATTCAGGGCGTTGGGATCCATGGTGGGCTGTCACAGGCAGCATTTTTTTTCCCGGACGGTCCGGTCAGGCCTTGAACTCTAGGTGGCCGACTTGCGCACTTCCTGTTCCATTGTAGAGCAGCAGTGATGCACGTGCCAAAGACCGGAGAAACATGGCAGGAAAGTATACTTTGAGTTACGCAAGATGGCATCGGCATCAACAGCGTTAACCCCAAGAAACAGCCTCCTCGCGCAGGTGTATGAGATCATCGCCGCGCCTCTCAGGACGCCGTTTCAAGTTTACGGCAAGTAACATAGAACCTCAACAGGGGCTCTTTGGAAAAGAGCCATTACGGTTTCCATGCTAATTTGGTGGAGGCCCACGTGACGACGCAAATGAGGGAGTGTCTTCTTGGCCTTCTGGAGATCAGGAAGTTGGCCCCATAGTAGTCCACATACAGTCTTCAACTACTGCAGACAAAGCTCTGGAAACTTGAAAGAACATCAGTGCAGGGAGGCAAAATTTTAGCCTCAGAATCCCCGAAATCTGAGACCCTTCAAATCTCAGACTTCGCACCCCTAAGCCTTGACGCCTAGCCTTGGCCTGGAGGATCCTCGTCAAGGTCCAGGCCAAGGCGAGTGCCCAAGAGATCGAAGACCAGCGCATGGAAAAGGCCAGCTGGAGCAACGAGCACTGTCTGCACAGAAGCTAGGGTTTCGGGTTGAGGCCTTTGTGGTTGGGTCATGGCTGAAGGTTTGGGGCTGGGGATTACCTCGCTATGGACACGTGGAAGACATTGTCCTCTACCTGTATCGTCATAGATCGGAGGAAGAGGCGGCTGTCCCAGGACTGGCTGCGGAGGTACACTGTCTCAGGGAATCTAGATGACCATAATGCCCGAGCCACGCCTCGACAAGTTCAGTCAGTCGTGTGTGTTGGTGTGCGCTCCTGCAGCAGAGGCAACGGTATGTTCTTCTACCAATGGTTCTTGCTACATCGTCCAAACCGTTCCTCGCTCGAGTTCATACCACCCGACCCCCCCTCGTACATGAACAACACCGATTCTTGGCAAAAGTGTTGGAGCTACGGCCCGGTACATGGTCGGAGGATTGGATACGGCAGCAATTCGAGGCAGAACGCCACCGCGCGGATTACGTGGAGATGGAGGTGGCCCGTCTACGCTCCGCAAGACGTTTTCTGGAAGAAATCGCTGCTCGGCCAAACTGGTCCTGTTCTGCGCGCACAGCGGTGGCCGCCCCAGCAGCGCCGGTGCTCAGAGGCAGAAGCGCGGACTTCCTGGACTTGATCATGGAAGACCAGCGCCTGCGCCAGGAAGCCTTCGCGGCAGTGGACTACTCAGAGACACCTCATGTTGACTTTCAACTCAGAGGCCGTGCTGTGGCGAGTCTTCTCGGCGGGCCTGGCTCTGGGAAGACATTCTGCATTCGTGTGTGTCTGGAGACTGTCAGCCAGGCAGGTCTACCAGCAGTCTATGCCACACCCACGGAGCGGCTTGCAGCGAGCATGCAGCGAATTCCGCACAATGACTGCCACCATGCTGCACCGTGCCTTCGGCATCAGCGGCACCGACACCGCCAAAAGGGCAATGACACCATCTTCAAGTATCAGGTATGGGTGCTGGACGAGGTCAGTGTGCTGTTGAAAGCCCATTTTGAGCACGTTATCAGAATGTGGTTAGCGGCAGAGCAAGCTCCGCTTTTGATTTGCAAGAACTGTGGGCCCAGCAGCCGGACACCCAGAAGAACTCCACCCCTGAGCTCCTCACCATCTTTGATGGAGCGAAGATGCGGGCGATTCAGAACTTGGACCTAAATGTAGGCCTTGTGAATGGCGCCGTAGGCCGGGCTGTGGCCTGTGACCATGCTCCAGCTCTAGTGATTCTAGTGCAGTGGCCCAATGGCACTGTGTCGCCAATATGGCAATGGGCAGCCAATTTTGAAGCATGCCTATGCTCTCCAGCACGGCTATGCCGCAGTGCACCAAGTGCAGGGGCAGAACTTGCAGAAACTCTGCATTTTTTTGAAGATTCTGCACCTCCAGGCTGGTCCTACACCGCCTGGACACGCGCCACAAATTTACAAAGCCTGCGCGTCATTGGCTGGCCGGGCCCTAGGCATTTTCGCGCGAGAGGCAAGCGCGAGTTAAAAAGAAGGCTTGGCCCGCCTTCGGCAGGGAGGTACACGGCTAGCAGTCATGTCTTCAATTGATGACTAAATTTGTAAACAAGCTATCGATCTCTGCTTTGAAATAGATCTCGGAACAAATTTCGATTCGAGTTTCAAACTAGATTGCCAAATTGATTCTACCTTTGGCCTTCGGAGGCACTTGCGATCTGAGGCCGGAAAACAATGTCTTCTTGTCGTCGGTATGCAATCATCGAACAAGCCATTCCGTATTTTACCGTTAAGCCTCGAGCCTCGAAGAAGCTGAGGGCTTGTGGCTTAGGAAGGAAAAGGCGGCTGTAGGTTTGCTGTATCGGTTCGGTTTTTTTGGTGGGCTGGTGTTGAAAACATTACTTTGATATCAGATGCTCGTAGGCTCAAACAAGTTTCCGGCTTAACTCCCAGAGCCGCAGTTACTCCACTGCCCGGGTTTCCTTCTTTCCAGCAGACTTTCTGTGACTCTCAGCCCCCCAGAATTCCATAAGGGATCCAACAAACTGAATCCTAAAGCGCAACACCTGCTTCTCATGTGTTGGAATTCGTGACGGATGGGTTGCAGCTCCAGCACGGCTTCAAAGGAATCATGGACAGATGGAAAATTGTAATTTTCGTGCACATGAAGTGCTTTTCCGGGTCATAGGTACCTGGACTCTTCCGTTATGAAACTGTAGACTTCTTAGCTGCACCCCAACAATGTGCTTCCATTTCTCATACTCCCCAGGGTCACCACGGTTATGATCGTTGTTGGACAATGCCCAAACATCAGGCTTTTGCATTGAAAACCCTTCCAACTGTAATCAGATTAGATATTGTATAATTATTACTAAGGAAGACGATTGCTTTCCCTGGCATACCTTCTTGCCGTGTTTCTGCATGAGCCGACGTAGTAGGTTGTAAATGGGTTGTTTGGTTTGACAATGGAACGTACTCTCACTTGCATCAACCTTGAAACGTGAACCCCCATCATTGCTTGTCTGCAACATTCTTTTGGACCAACCTTTTAGATTTAATTCATATATATATACATATCTAAAACAGACCCTTGGTGGATGCTATGTCAAGCTCGACATGTATATCCCCTTTGATACTAACCAGCCAACGAGCCTTGAAGAGGCTTCGTAGGCAATAGATGGCTTCGTAGGTAATAGATCTCTTCGTTCATTTTCAGTGTGGAATGGTTCTCGGATTTATGCAAAGACTTTGCAAGACCTGCAGTACCAGAAGTTCACCGAGGGTCCTGATGCAGAAAAGCTGCAGGGCTACGGTGGCTTGCACTTTCGACGTTTACGGTCTTGCTTTTGCTTTTGGATCCGTCCCATTCATTCCCAGGAACAGATCTTGAAGGAGGAGCAGACCCGAAATTCTGGACCCGCTGCAATGAGAGTTTGTTCAATCTATAACTTGTCAACATGCATTTTTGGTTCTTGCACTGTAGCATGACAACACGACTTGAAGAGTGCATTGGCATTTTGCTAACGAAACAGCTACGCATGTTTCATTGGTGGTTCTGAGTTTTGTGTAGGATTCCAAGCCCTCAAGGTAGAGGCTACCGCGCAGAGGAGATAACATGATTGTCCAGTTCATGAATGGGGCGCTTGCGGATAAGTGGCTTGCTTGAGGTGTTTTTCAAATTACCCGCGCATGGTCACGGGGACTCACCTGAGGCACCCTGGCGTTACGTAATGTATCTTATCGTTACAAAAAGCTACACTGTAAGCTTGTGCGATCCCTTGACAAGCAGTAGTTCCCTCACCGGTGACGGTCATCAAAGTGATGCATAATCAGTTCCTGGATGCCAACATTCTCGTTGCGCGCCGTCCAGCATGAAGAACTCTTGCTTGTCAGATATCATGTTACCAACAGCCAGGCAGTTGTAAAGTGCTGCAAGAAGACACCACCGGCTGCTCCACAGCGGTGCGAGCTAAAAATGTTGGGTATTCAGCACGTAACAAAACATAGATTCTGCCCATTAGTTTTCGCAATGTACGACAGTGTACATTGCTTTGAGAGCTCGGAGTTGCACCCAAACCTCAGGGACATGCAGAATCTTTTGTCGGACTGAGGCCTCTAACACAATGAAACTGTACATTGAGGCTCTACGCTTTTTGGACTTTGTAAAGGGCTAGCGCGGCAGGCCGAATTTGATCTTGTTAAGGAGGATTCTTGGCATGCTTGAAGGTTTTGTTGGCTAGCTGCAGGCTTACAGAGCAAGGCATATCGGCTTTTGCAGATGTCCCACAAAGCTAAGACCAAGCCTCCTAAAACACCCCTTAGACCGTAGCATCCAACTATCCGTGCATGCCAAGATGTCATAAGTCATAGCAGGCCTGGCCATGAAGGCCCATCCCACAAGAGGGCCTTTGGAGGGATATATGTAAGCAGCAGCCACCACCTCTCCTCAAAGTAAGCCACATGGAGTAGTTTTCAAAGGTATTCCTTTGAAATTCAGAGTAATGACAGTAGCATATGTGGAGTTAGCATGAGGACGGCTGCGGAATTCGGCTTTCGTCTTCTTTGCCTTTCTCATAGGCTCAGGGTTGGCCTTGCTGTTTGATTGAGGTGTAGGGTTTAGACACCGGTGTAAGGGGCGTAAGATAATTCGATTTATGGTGTTCACTTTTATGGGGTTGAGGGTTGGGAGTTCCTCATAGGCAGATTTTCCGCCGCCCCAAATCCATGGAGGCTTGGAGGGTCTCAATGAGGTGTTGCCGTGCTTTATGCAAAAATTTGATAAGGTGCGTGTGGGCTGTCGGAGTAAAATCTAGCGATGTTCTGATTCAAAAATTATGGGGGGGGGCTCTCTTAGGGGACATTTTGAGAAACATCCATTTCTGCCTGGACCCTGAACTTTCTTCGTTCTGCCTTGCGTGCAATACCTGATGGCAAGCTAGGATAACCGGGATGGAGGTGGGAAGTTGTTGGATTAAATGTCGAACGAAACAATTTGCAAGGTTCCCAACTTTGATTTTCCTATCTGCCTTTAATTATTGTCTAACCAGTTATGTGATCGGCCCGGCATTAAAGCATCTGCTCATTAGGAAGCATACTGACCGGCAGACACAGGCCTACTTGGAGTTGAGATCGCTGGCAACGCGTAGATTTCCGCAAACATGTGCATCCTTGCAACCAATCCATAGCCTGGCAACATTTCCCATGCTCATTACATTTCCGTTGCACAAGCAGTTTGCACTGACTTATGGAGTTTGGGGTTCAGGGTCCAATTCCGATTCACCTCGTGTTTGTATCATGGCAACGTGCTCTATCTTCCAAGCCCGGCAGACCTGGAACCTGAACGTTCAGTCGCAAAATCTCAAATCCTTGAACCTTAAACCCCTGAGCCCTTAAGCGTTGAACGCTGAAGTCAAGACCCCAAAGCAGCCCATGCACATGTCAGTGAGTAGCGATCCAACCCCTGCTGTTCAAAAGCCTCACACACTCGCAATGCAAGCATGTACCAGCACTCGAAAGGCTTAATCCTTAGACCCAAAACGACCCTAAACGCAAAACGACTAAATCTTAAACGCGCATGCCAAAGCACCAAGCGCGCAACTCTGGGCACAAAGCCCTAGACTCGTGAGGTCTAATGTCTTGGGCCAGCTACATGGACTCCACTTACGGTGGGCCTGTGCATGGCTTCTTGAAGGCATCTGCTAGGGGCCGTTAAGGAAGTTTACTGGCGTGTTATGAAGACTGCGGGTAAGGCCTTAAGGATGATGGTACAGGGATTTTCAAGATTGTGGGACCCTTTTCCTTGCGGATCTTAAGATGAAGGGTGATGACTAAAGAACCTTAGGGGCACACAGAGGCACCCTGATGTGGAGTAATGCCCTTGGCAAGACGTACGTGTAGAGATCGGCTGCTGATTGCTCAGCCTGAGTATCGGTGGTAGGGAGCTTTGATCTTATGAGGATGGTGCTACAGTTCTTAAAGTATATTTAGATCAAGTTTCGGTGTTGCGATAACTCTCAGCCTCTGTCGGATTAAAGGTTTGAAATCAACCAGAGCGTATCAAGGCCGACAGGACCTGGAAGCATGACAGTAAGAAGGGACCATCATTATGTTTATCTGGAAAAATATACCAGCAGCAGTGGGTCGTCTTTGGAGATCTCCAAACTTTTAGTGTTCTGGTATACATCCTGAGCGTAAGGGGCCTGACCAGAAGGCGCCCAAGGTCTTGGACGCAGGGACCGGCGGGCCTTCGTCTTGGGGGGGGATGCTGGAAGCGGAGACCCACAAGCCCCCACCCTGAAAAAGACGCCGAGAGAGCCATCCCCAATCAGCACGTATCAAAATTTAGGGATAAGCCCTGCTTCCTACACACCAACCACTAAGATCAACGGTGCCGAGGAAAGGGCTTCTGCTTCCCCGCTGGCGTCATGCCGGCCTACAATATCCCTGACGCGGAGGGCAACGTTTAAAGCCTGCATTTGGAGCATTCAGAATTGAGTCACCTTAGAAGGATAATGAAGGGATAACATTCCAGGATCCAGGTTCTAGGTGTCTTAATGCTGTATATGCATCCCGCAAAGAAGAACGCCGGGGGCAATGTGTGGATTGGAATTGTTATTGCTGATATTATCAGGTCTGATCGGATGTTCACTACGGCATTTTGTGGAGAATCCTTTCTCACCAGCCCAGACCCGTAAACCATGTATCCCGAAGAACCGCGGCGACAAAGTCCAAACCACCTAAATGTTGGATCTTGATTAGTGTTTGAGGTGCCCCCCAAACAAAACGGGGGAACCCCGATACTGGAAAAACAAATTGGGGGGAGTCCTGCTGCTGCTATCTCGTTCTTTCTGAAGGAAAGGATCCGCGTAGTGTTGAAGAGAATAGGAAGGGCAGGGTCCTGTAGAGAGGGTAGGCAAGTGGGTAGCTCAGTGCAGTTTAGCTTTGCAGAAAATAGGAAGGGTTAAAGCCAACGAAAATCTAATCAAGATCCCTCCACATCTGATTAGATTCATAAAATCGAATCAAAAGAATTAAAAGCCAATGAAAATCAAATAGAAATCCAATGAAAAGCCATTTAAAATAGCCTCACAATTGACCCACCAAAATAACAGCTATATTCCCGGCCTGGCGACACAGGCCAGCCAGGCCGTCCTCTCTTCCAAAACCCAAAACGGAATCCCAATGTTTAGGGTCTTCCTGTTTTTTTTTCGACCAAACATGCGCGCACCCCGCTCATGGATCCGGTTCTGAATTAATTGGGACCAGAGGGGTTACAAATCCAATTAAAACCATCAAAACGGGCTTGGAACATGGTTTCCACGCAGGCGGACCGCGTTGTGGCCCGGATGTACTTTTTGGTGCAATTGAAAAGCAACATCTGCACATATTTGAGAGGTTAAATCGGTGGAGCCCCCACACGTGCTGGAAATATGTGCAAAAATACATGCAAAGTGTACAGTTTTCAGAGTTTGGCCTGGGTAATGCACACCAAAGCTTTCGCATGCCTGTCATGCAGTGCAGGTGCTGTCAATGCTGATATCTACGCCATGAAATAGCGCCCACAGCGTGTATTTTGAGTGGCTTGTCGTGTTTGTCGTGCATGTGCATCACGCTTGTTCAGGCCCCAATTACCTTCTTGAAGCCACAAATATGAGGTTCCAACACCCCTGCAAAACTCGAGGTATGTTGAGGTGTCCAACAATGAGAAACGCACGCCCAATTGCGTGCATGATGCTGTCCCGAAAAAAATTGCCCAAAACTTCCGTTCGAGGGAGAACGCTTCAAAAATACACGTCAAGCAAGAGATCACTTTAATTTTAGACCCAAAAAACACGTTTGCAGGGCTTCCAGGGAGTCTGTCGGCGGTGCGGGTGTATCCCCAGTGAAGTCCGTCCGGTCGTGGTCCAATGTGGATGCACGCCTGGCTAAGCTATGTTCATACGGGGTGACGCCCATTCCGCCGACCCCCTCCCTTGGAGGCCCTGGAGGACTGTTTTTGGGTGTAAAAATTCAGGTGATTTTAGGCTGCGTTTTTGAAGCTTCCCCCCACGCTATGGAGGGTTTTGGGCAAGTTTTTTGAAGCCAGCAGCATCATCAGCACAATTGGGCCTTCATTTCTCATTTTTTGCCACCTCAACATACCTAGAGTTTTGGAGGGCTCTTGAAGCCTCATTTGTGTGGTGTCAAGAAGGAAATTGGGGGCCCCAACAGGCCCCATGATGCTCATGATGCTGGCTCTTGGGGGGCTGCAAAGCGCTTAAAATGCGCTATAAACCCCAACAAAACGCTCAAAATACACGATGTAGGCAGTGGCTGTAAATACCTGTGTTGGTAGGATCTGCATTGTATGACGAGCATGAAACAGGTTCGGCGTACATTGCCCAGGCCAAGCCCTATAAGATGTGCGTGTTGCATTGTTTTTGGATGTGTTTTGCCCATAGTTCCAGCACCTTTGTGGCTCGCTCCTAAGCTTGTCCAATGCGTGAAATGTGGTTGCTATTGGCAGCTGATTTCCCCCAAAAAATGCATTTGTGGGCTAGAGCATGGTCAGCCTGCACAGAGAACCATGTCTAAAGTCATCTTTGTTGGCTTTCCTTTTGGTTTTTGACCCCTCCTGGTCCCAATCAAGCCAAAATGAGGTCCCAAGTGTGCAGCTGATGTTCCTGTACGAGGTGCGCGCGCGCGCCTCGTACCGGAGCATCATCAGCACAATTGGGACTCCATCTTGGGCCGCTAAACTAGACAGAACAGGGTCTTCAAACCTTGACAAACATCCCAGGTAACAAGAACATAACTTTTTCGTACACTTCTCTCAGTCAAAAGTACCAGCAGGGCGGGGGTGGGCTTGGCTTTCACTTGATAGCTGGGATGGCCAGGCTTGATTTAAAGGCCTCCGGCCAAGCCGCCGACCCAGGCAGTCAGTCTATCACCCCAGCCCTGCCGATATTGCCGCAGAGGCACCGGGGCGAGACCAACCAACGCAAAGGAGAGAAGTTCAAGACAGGCTGCCGGTAATCCATTAAAACAACCTTTGTTGTCTAATTGACACTCCCAAATCCCTTATGAGAAGCAGGGGGTCTGCTGGACTACCCCCATTGGAATTTGATTGGCTAGCCTAGCCTGCTCGAACAAGCGGTGTGATAAGAAATCGATGGTTGTGGGTTGTGGTAGCATATGATTCAAGACTCTTCATATTCCACGGCTGGCTTTTAAAACCTATAGCCGTCTGGTCTCATGATAAATCTTCCCCTGATTTTTTCGGCAGAAAGTTTCACTCAGTTGGCACCCCTCAAATCGATTGGGGTGTCCAGAATAATTTTCCGAAAGCTTTACATTATCGCACACCCCACACTAATCGGGATCCAAAATGTGCCGGTAATCCCTCCAGGCGTTCTTTGCACAACTCTGAACCTAAGAGTAGCAATGTGGGAGTTCTTGAGCATGAATCACAATGAAGGGTCCCGGTAGAGCATGTGCAAAACAAAATATGAATGTGAGAAATGGTTGGAGGAGAACGGTGGGCGTCTAAGACGTAGGAAGAGCAATGGCGCAAGAACCTGTAGAGCAGGCCTCATGCTTCTGTCTGGCCTCACGCTTATGACATTCCTGAAAAAATCTTGCTCGGATCATGCAACCCATGCTGTTGGAAAATGGCAACATGAAATCCGTAGTTCCCATGGAACGCTTTGGAATCTTGCGAAGCCCAATGTTTTCTGAGCCGAATGCAGCGAGCTAAACCTCTTTAAACCATAATCGCACAATCCCTGAACCCTCCCCAGATATCGAGGCTCGCCTCCCCTGCAACTGCGCTCCACTGTACTTGGCTGGCCATTGGGGTTCAGCGGTTTTGGGACATCCTTGGCATTCAAATGTTAGTGTTGCTCAGGAGCATTCTTGTTTTTGCTTTGGCTCATGGATTTCTTTTGTATTGGACTTTTTTCCCTAGATAATGCTGAACAGCCTAGTGTATTAGCTGGTCATTAAGACCAGTTTGACACCTCACATGGTACTTGAAGTCGTGACTACGTGTACATTTTTTGGAGAATCTTGGTGGTCAACTGAGAGTTGAGGTTCATATCATCAATGCGAGCAGGCTTCAGTCATGCAAGCAGATAAAGCCATGGTGGCTCAACATGGAAAATTCAACTGCGGGTTATCTTGTACGCCATAAGTGGTGGCCGAAGCATTCTGTGTGTTGCAGGCTTGTAAGTTTTGGGTTGCAGGGTCGGGGCGCGGAAGTTTCAGAATCGTTGTGTGTATATACTCCGTACGAGCTGAATGTGAGGGCTTTGTGCGGTGTTTTGGAGAGGCTTCTGTGAACCTTCTGCTGGAGGCTAATTTTCATTTGCAGGAGGTATGGTTGCTTAGTTGTGAACTGCCTTGCAACCCGGCGCAAAATATGAGCGCCTCGTTTCGCAAACAGTTCTTGAGGCGCGGACTATACAATTTAAGGTCTGCAGTTCCAGGGCTGTTGAGTAGCAATAGGCTGCCATCGCAAGGTACAAGTGGTATCTGGAGCCAAGTTTGACTGCTCAGCAGATCGACGACATGCAACTCGATGAAAAGCCTGGCCTCGACATCCATGAAAGACTAACCAACCGCTACCTCAATACTACCTCTCCACAGCCTTGATTGCTTTGCATAAAATATGAGCTTATATTGGCATACTCAGCTGGCGAAGAAGTCTAAGTCTTTCCATTATGTTTGACAACTCGTTTCCATTCTCTGTTTGTTGGATCCAGCCGACCATGCGCCATTCGGGGCAGATGAAGGGCTTCTTCGGATCTGGACCTTGCTGAAGCTGAAGTGGGACACTAAGGTAGATCCCTACGGCAATCTTAAATTTGTTGCCTCTCAAGCATTATCAATATGATGTTCTTGATCCGTCTTATGTGAAGCTCTGGGTTCAGGTGACTACTGTAAGATGAACCTTCTGACGAAGAGTTTCTCCAAATGAGGCGATAGCTTGTGATCCCTTCATTCCCCTGAACCGGGAAGACAGGAGATGCACCTTTTCTTTCTCGTGGCTTTGTTGGACCTTATTGCAAGCTGATTACAGGTTGTAATTCATTGCAAAAGGATTCCGAATCTCGTAAATCCCACAATCGAAGCCCTCACCTCAATTCAAGCCCAAACCTAGAGCCCCTGAACCAAAACCAACTCAAGCCTTATCACAGCACATGCTGCCTCGAAGATCAGGAAGGACGCGGCTCCAAAGGTGGACAGCAAGAACTGCGGCCGAACTATGGGGGGCGAGAAGAAAGACTGCGATCCCAGGAGCAGGGACGGGGATGACAGCTCCGCTGCGCCACCGAAATGAGTTTTCTACTAAAATAGAAACTGCGGATGTTGCATGTATGCTTGTGTGATCGTGTATGAGATTTGAAAGCCTTGTGGGGTGGTATCATATGGTGTATGGCCAGAATCTTATCAAGCTACAAGAAAACAATTACCGCCAGGGAGAACCTCACAGTTGCGTGCAGTAGGGTACTCCACCTGCTGCAGCCCAGGAAGGAGACCCAGAATGTCAAGCCACGCCATTTATTAGCCTATCATGCTGGTTGACGATTGCTGTAGACCCATCTGACACCTGTATCCTGATCTGCAAGCCAGCGATGTGGCAAAACACCACGCGATCTCCCGCTCCAGCGGTAGAGTTTACGATAGACTGGCCACGCGAGTTTATCATTTTTCAGGATTCAGGGTGTTCGTTCATAGCTGAGAATCTGGAGGCTGCAGGCTCATGGGGATTGAGGTTTAAAGCCTGTGGCGTTTCAGCAGTTCGGGGAAAATGCAAAGAACTTATACTCTCAGGCATGACTTTTGAAAGGGATGTTGTTATAAAGGGTTTGATGCTTTTAGGCTTGAGGTTTGTTTTTATGGAATCGAACTGCAGAGCAGGTTAGGTTTAGCAGATTTGGCTTGGAGATTCTGTAAGACACTTTGGATCTGAAACCTGAGACTTGACGTTTTGGCAAAACAGGGCTTGGAATTTCAGATTGATCCTGTTTTGCTGGCCGATCAGGGTTTGGTGATGTTCGCCCCAAGTTTTTGCTCAATGACAGCCATCAAGTAAATGACAGAGCATGGAGGAAGTTGAAATCCAGATCGAATCACGGCACTGAATCCTGAAACCTGAAACCCTGGATCTGGAACTCGAAGCGCTACATCTGAGATCCCATTATGCCACATCCTGAGCCCTCACTCCAAAAGCTACGATCCAAGATCCCTGATGCCTTTTCCTGGGCAAGGGGCATTCCACACATTACGTAAAGTCCACCAAAAATATTGGACCTAAACCTAAAGATCCTGAAAGCTGCAAACCGCTTGGCCTTCCACCTTTACACTTCTCCCCGCAACCAGAATCCTTCCACAGGACTGTTGGCGGATGCGTGTGGACGAAGGAGGCGTGGGTTGTTGGCGTTTTCGATCGTGCGACTGCAGAGAAATTTAAGTCTGAGGTTAGAAGTCTGGGCCGCTAATATGGGCCCTTAGGCCTTTCAGGGCAGGGGGATTCTAGCAACCCTTAAGGGTTCATGTAGGGTATATAGCAGATTTAAGGATCCCAGGGTTAAGTCTCCATACTAGGGACCAATGGTTTCAACCCTAGATTAAGAGCGCGGGGTTTAGCAGTGAAATCATTTCAAAGTTGCAGGTTTCCCACGTTTTTGGGTTTGGGGTTTCGGATTAGGATATTCTGCATGGTTCAGGGGCGTGCCCAACAATTCAATTTTGCCGGGTTATACTTTAAAAGTCGTAGGCCTAAGCCTTGAACTCTTCATCCTGAATGCTAAATTCTATGCCCTTACTTGACCCACAAGCTTCCTTCATGGTTTGCTGCAAATTTCTAAGCCTTAGATTTTACATCCTAACCGCTAAATTTACATCTGAGATCTTAAGCTCTTGAACTCGGAACCCTCAACCCAAACTCGAATTCTTGAAGTTCTACTTCGTCTTCTTGGCATCCCTGGGGTGGGAAGCGGCCAGGATCTTGCCAGAGATCCTACATACTGGGAGGGCTTCACTCCCACCTACTGGGAGAAGCAAGCGAAGACGAGCCTGGGCTTGGTTGTGCGTCGGACATGAAGTAAGTAATGAATCCTCATAGCATTTAGGTTATCATCCTCAAAAGAATACCCCTGAGCCATTCCTTCGTGCGCCGCGTACAAAAAGTGAGGGTAGCAGGCTTCCAGTATTCCAAGCTTCCGTCAATGAGGAGGCAGTTGATGGAGGAAGTCCTGTAGCATCTGTAGAGCCCCGACACTACAGTGTTTGCCCGGACTTGAGGGTCTCAACAATAAAGTCTTTGTCTCTTCAAATGCTGATGTTTCTGAAGTTTTAAGTCAGGAGTAATGGCATGCCTGAGAGCAGAGCTTACCCTGCATCTCAGACCACGTATTACCATGATTCGTATGAGGCTGGAAAAGGTTCGCAGGGTTGCGTTTTTGAGGAACCCAGCGCTCAGTAACAAGCCACCTTGTTTTGCCAACCTCTCTCAGAATGTGAAGAGATGGGTTCCCTTCCTACTCTCAAATTCATTACCACACATACTGCACAACACCAACCCCCGTTATCTCAGTATTCTTGCAGGGCAGCACCTCCAGCCTTGACATCTTCCGTAACAAACATCTAAAGGAGCAGGATTTCTCAGGTAAAGCTACCCGAGTTCCTTGTAGCAGCGTACTGTCAAATTGAGAGAGAGTTGTTCTTAGAGAAACTTCAAAGCCTGAAAAGATGCTACTGGTAGCAAGACTAAGGACCTGATATCTCGAACACTGCACTCCTAAATCCTTCTCCCTCACACCCTACCCAGGATGTCTCGGTGAGCTGCAGAGCTGCCTGATGAAGGGGGCCTTGCCTTGCGGGTTGCTACCTGGGTAAGGCACGGGGTTGGAGTTTTCGGGATTATGAGGCTCAAGGCTTCTGGTTAGCATGTAGGGCTACATTTGTTCAAGTGCAATGTAGCGGAATGACTTATTCTAGTGTGGCTTGATGAGATTAGAGATACCGAGATACAAGCGGAGATGATATCGTGTTCAAACAGGGGTGATTAGCTTGCCTGGCTGAACTCCATGCTACTACAGCTTAGGAATTTCAATGTGTCCTGCCTGCGTCGTTTTCTTTTAGGTTCAAAACAGATCCTGGCACCGCATAGTACCCTAGACCTGCAAAGCACTCTTTGCGAATGTGTGGTTGGCCGCGAGACATTCCCAGCCCAAGGCAGGAAAGTCCCGACATTCCGCGGTGCTTTTGACATCCAAATTGCTAAGCTAGAAAGCCTTATTCTAGAGAACCAGTCCAACACTCCTTGTTCATAACAAGGAAGGGTTTGGGGTAGGCAGGTTTGCCGTGGGCTTGTCTCGCAGTCTTCCCAGCGAGCCCTGGCGCTAGAGCGCCCCATGCACGCGAATTGGAAACTTTAACCTTGAACCCTTACGTAAACCATAAGCAGAGCCGAAAACGCCAAGTACGCTGTAGGAGAGGCCAGAACAAATCCATGCACATGCCCAGCATTGATTGGTCTGAAGGAAAGCCAAAAGCACAGAAAATCCACGCTTGAGCTGTGAGGCTTAGGGTTTAGGGTTTTAGACAGCTGGAGGAGGTATGGGTGCCACGTCTTCGATGCCGCTTGAAGCCTGAAGGTGTACCTGCAGAATCTTTTTACTATCGACAGAGATCTGCATGGTATATGCTGAGAGACCCTTCATTGGGTAGTTAGGGGAGTGAAAGTCCCAGCTTGGACGGAAGAGGTTTCCTACCCCGGCCAACGAAAGAACCTGCAAGTCTGGAGTTCCGATGGTAGCTACATGAGTTTACACCATTTATGGGGTCTTCCAACAAACCTTGAAGAACCTGCCCCACAACTTCCCTTTTTGTAAGTTCAAGCAGCTTTGTGGTCGAGAGCTTCCTTCGGAGCATGCTTGGAAGCTGTAACCTGTCCTTCTCAAGACCCCGTACTTGTTCCTTCTCAAACATAAACCCAGGGCTCGTGTGGCCGAAGCCTTCAAGTTGTAGGCTGGTGTCCAACTTTTTGAAGTGCCCAAGGCCTGATTGTCGGGTCGAGGTTGCGGCTGTATCAGTGGGAGTTTCCCAAAGCGCTTGAGGTCTAGAGAGAAGTGTTAATGAACGGTATACCTCCTTTACTTTTTCGGTTGAATGTGAGCGCAAGACTTTGACTTTGTGAAGCTACCCACTTGAGAATCTCCGAGCAGAGTTCTGCTTGCATGCTCTTCGATGCCAGAATGGTGCTGGTCGTGCCACGCGTGAGAAAGAAACAAAGAGAAGCGAAGCCCACCTTCCATTGACCCTCAAGTTCCAAACCCACCACATCAAAGACCTCTTGAAATGCACGGGTTTAGGGTTCACGGGGCTCTTCCCTCGTACCGTAACCACTGAAAACACGACGTTCTGGAAGAAAATGCTTTAATCCCTAACATTGTCGGGTTTGGGATGTAAATGCTGAGAAAATCGCAGGCAGTAAACTTACCCCATCCAGCACATGTTCGTTGGCACGGTCTTCACGACTTTGTTCGGACCTTGCGTGCCAGTAGCACGAGATTTCTCGAATGTATGCTCTGTTTGTGATAAATACTTTCGTGATTTACAGCTTTTTATGACAATGTGATGAACCTCTTAAGATGCATTGAAGCTCCGATAAAGGTTTGTCAGCCTTCAGGCTCTCTCAGAATTCACGTTTTCGTGGATGAAACGCTTCATGACACCCAGAGCATACTCAGTTGAACACTCAGGGATACACAGTCAAACAGCATTTTGTCCAACTGCATTATACTCACACCTTCCAAACCATTCAAAGAGTTTCTTGAGCCACCAGCTGGGCAGCCGATCCTTCTGGCTACCGACTTGAGAACGGCAAGTTTAAGCATCCTCCGGAAGGTCACTTAGCAAGTGGGCCTCGCGTTCCATGTTCACACGTAGTAACTGGCAATCCGTACACACAGACGTTACTACCCAGACCCCTGGGAGGATCTAGAATCTAGAAAGTAGAACCCCCCGATTCGGGTACCCTTCACTACCATGGAGTAATTTCTAGGAACCCTTAAGCGGGATCTATTTTCTTGATCTCCCAGGGGTCTGGGTAAGCCCAAGCCATAATCCCTGGACGTAGACTTTCCTCCGAAACTTTTCAAAACCCTTAACCCCAAATCGCCTCTTGGAAACTCACAGCATTTCTGAGCCAAGCACGGCCGCAGGAGCCAGCCGGCTGCAGCTCGACAGCCCTGTGTGGCCCGGTGCGAGTTCAAGAACCCATAAGCAATGAATGTACCCTAAATAAAATCCGAGACCTTCTTATGTTCTACGGCATGACTTGAAATGTAGGAGTTAGGATTGAGGGTTTAAAGCTTTGAGGTTTAAAGCTTTGAGTTAAGGGTGTAGGGTTTAAGGGTCCGCGGATTCAGGACGAAGGGTTGAGGTTCAAGGATTATGATAAGGTTTAGGGATCAGCTTTAGAGTTAAGTGTTTTGAGTTGGTTTCAGGTTTACGGATTAAGGATTGGGTCGCTTTAAAATTTCCGGAAACAGGATTTGAGGTTCCAGATTAAGATTCAGTTTGCAGGATTTTGAAGATGACAGGCGTAAGCTAGTGAATTTCATGGCGTATGAGCAGCTGAGCAGTTCACCCAACGAACTTTTCTGTTTGTGTTTCTAGGCCGGCGCAACAGCCAGTGAGTAAACCAAGGCCCCGACATGCGTTCTGTCGACAAGGTGGAATTGAATTGTGCGGCTTGATGACTTACAAGCACTTGCTCAGGAGCAAGGAGTTAGTTGAAGTTCGTTATAGCCTTGAAATGTGAAGTTCTCAGCATGATTCCTGCTGGTTCTTTGCGTTTGCAATGAGCAATGATGCCACAAAACAGCACCGTGGACAGCACCTTGAGTTGCACATGTAAGAGTTCCACTAGCTGTGCTGTTGTTTGGCGAAAAACGGCACTATGCGTTTAACGTGCATACTGGGGGGACTTGGGGCATGGGATCTTTTCAGGCACTGATGGGTTTGGGACTTGGGTGAAAGAGTTGGCTGTGCAGTTTAGGGTTCAGGCTTGAGAGTTTTGTGTTGAATGGCTTATGTTTCGGCGAAGAAGCATACCCAAAACATTGTGGAAATACCTAAGCTAAGGATCCCCATGGAATTGGCCATTGTTGTCTCAACTTATTGTGGTTCTAAGCGCTTGCAGAATGGGGTTACTTGTTGGTCGCTGCGGGGTTGGAATGGGGAAATTTTGCGCAATCCCACCAGACCCAATCCTTGTGAACCCTGAATTTCCAGAGGCGAAACCCATAAAACTCAAATTCTGAAGCGATGAGCCCTCAACCTTTAAATCCTAGGACCTACATTGAACATGCAAAGGCCGAAGTCCCAGAGAACAAAGACCTGGATCCAGAAATCGTGGAAAGGCGCTTCAGGGCTGTAGTTTTAAAGGTAGTAAATTGAGAGATTGAGCTAAGGATGATAGAAGGCAAGACTCATACACGTGTGGAAATTGTTTGGCCTGGCAAGTGGCTTTTTGATTTTGCACGTAGCTTCAAGGTGTTACAGCCTCGAAGTTTCCTACTTAAAGTCTCGACTTAAACTCTATTGGTAAGAACCCTGATCGCCACGTCACTTACACCCAAGCCGCATTGATTGTATGTTAGCCAATTGGGATGCTCAAGTGCATAGAGCAGCTTTGGCTTCAGTGCTTTGAAAGTGTTCGTGCAGTGCCCAGCCTATTCATTTCTACATGCAGAATGTTGTCAATCTCCTGCGTGAACGTTCCTCAAAATGGACCCTGAGATCCGTCAGCTTCAGCCAAATTAATGCCGGCCTCTTTAAAAGCAAAGCAAAGCCAGCAGCAAAGCCACAAAAAGTGAACCCTATTCGCTGCACAGGAACCTGCCTCGTCTTGAGGGAAGTTCCCATGGTAATTTGCAACCATCAAGATCATGTGATTCATTCTTTTAGTATAAACTGCGGAGCTCTGAGACTAGGGTTCTGCTATTCCCCAAGCAAACGTGGAATACATTTATTTCAACGTGGCTGTATTCTGAAGAGGGCC